CCCACATCCATACACCCACACCCACAACCACATTCACACCCGCATTCACACCCACACCCACACCCTCCTTAGATCCTAATGAAGCAACGAAAGTCTCTAGACTCACACAATTTGCCGTTCTCTTTGCCTTCTGGCGATCATAAGCAAATATTTTCGGCAACTTGATAATCTATACCAATAATAGTGAAAAACGTATAGTTTTGTGGTAATTTGTCTCACCCTTTTTCATCTATTCTAGATTAAGTTTTAATATCAATAATTGTAAAATATTAACTAGTTGTGTAGTAAGAATGAGGACCAAAGAAATCAATATACAAAATCAACAGCAGCAGCAGTTAATAGACAACAAGGAAATAAAAAAATGTCGCGGCAATTGAAGACTATAACGTTTCAAAAGAAAATGTCGATCAAAAGGAATGAATGATCAAGCTATTGAAATGTTAATGTCAATTCATCAAGGAATTAGACCAGTTCATCAGGATAATCAATACATACACGGAAAAGAAATGGATGATCCTTCTATAATGAATACCGATCATAATAACAACATTTCGATGTTACTTGAAAATCAGATACAATCAGCAGTAATGAATGAAAATATGACGATTTTCTCTAATATATTATAGGATCGTACAAATAAACATCAAAATATTGAAGAAAATCTAACAAACAATTCTACAATTCAGCCACTAATAATTATAACCGAAAACCAATGGTCTTCAATACCTATTAAAACATATCAAGAAAAGCTTAAAAAACCTCAATTATCCATTGACAAATGGAAACAATCTTGGAAACTTATACCAAACTATAGGAAAATGTCTCCTGATCTATTCAAACGTATACTATGCAAAACTATTTTATCTTATTGTCATCAAATTCGACAATGGTTAACAAATGCTGAAATTTTACAATTCATTCAACACCATGCTCAATTAATGTGTACTATCTTTCAATTGCAGATGGACAATGATTATTGGAAACATGCAATTAATGTTGCTCTACCTGTTATCAATTGGCTATCACGAATGTCTAAAGATATTACGAAACGAAATTTTATTAATTGGAATTATCCTCGAACTGAAAAGAATATCAAACATCGACAAAAAAAACATCGAAAATAAATTACAACAAGCCCATAGAGAACTACACCTTCATTAAAAGAATATTCATTCTTTTGGTCAATGATGTCAAACAACACATCTATGGATCAATCAATCAATATTATATTCAATACTATGATTGTTATGATTCAAAATGGTCTACAAAAATTATGTACCCATTTTGAACAGAAAAAAATCTTAATAAACTTCGATGTCAATGAAGTGTATCTTGTGAAGTCATTCTACGAGTTGAATCCAACAAATGAATAGGTTTCTATTGATTTAATCGACATTGTTTTTTTTCTCTCATCATCTTCTATTTTTATTGAATCCTAGATATCTGCCGTTCAAAAGGTTTGGCGAACAACAGTTAAAGCATGTCAACGAATAATTTATGAAAGAAACAATCATTCATTGGCTATCAATCAGATAACAGCTGAAGATGATATTTCATCTGTGTTCAAGGAAAAATATCGACTCTACATTGATGCTAATCATCAACAACAAGACCAATTATCATTTCTCGAATCACTGATACCTTCAATGCGTACGATTGTGGAAGCTCGTCTAGTCAATATCGAACAACGTGCTCAGGAAATCATGGAATTTACCAATATTTCCTCTCAAAAATAAGGATCTATTTCGATCATATTTATCTAATACTATGAGCATTTAGTTCATATTAATCAATAGTTTTACGTTCACATATTATTCAATTTTTTTTTGTTCTTCTTACATTTTCTTCTATAACCTACAAAACTAAATAATTCTATCAAGCTTTTTGTTCATTTTAGATATCACAACGATTTTAGCCTGATAGTGAAAAACTTTGAGTGTTGTGGTAATTGTACTCACCCTCACCCTCACCCACACCACACCCTCCTCCAATCTCCGCTACAAAATATACCCACTTCAGTCCTTTGAACTACTTTCCAATCTATCAAACCAAGCTAACACAATAAAATCTAAAGAAAAGAAACTCTCAAAAAAAATGCAATATAAATTAAACGAAGAAACATCACGACATTACAGAAACTAGCCAACACATGACGGATAAAAAAAACTTCATTCTCAATTTTCACTTCTAAGTCCTACAAAGCACAGACACATCTTTATGATCTACTTCACCATTTGAATAGAATCTACATACTCACACAATTCTGGCCAGTCCCCTTATCTAATCTCTAGTCCTATGTTGATCTACAGCATCCTTATTAGAAATCAACGATAAACCTAGCAGATGAAAAATGCAGCTGTGGGTCCGGATGGACCCTACGACAACTATGCTGTTACCAGCATATTTTTAGTCTTGATAAAGTTCGAGAAACATGTTCCAGCTGTGGTCAAAATGTTTGTTTGTCTCATTCCAACAGTGTCACAACAGTAACTTGTCAAACATGCATGGAAAAACATAAGAGTATACTTTGCATTTATGAAAAAAGATTTATATACAAACAACATCATCAGTTTGATAAAAAAAATACTGAGTTTTTATTGCTTTTTCTAATAATAAAGAGAAAGATAAAAGTAGCTATAGTTCAAAAGGAAAAGTTTTTTGCTTTCTCAATTTTATAATTGATTATATATATAACAACGTACGCGTAGAATCCTATCATCTAGACTAGATTGATATATTCTATGCTTTTCCCAGCTATTATCAATGTTACTACAAAAACGATTCGAGAAAGTAATTTTTGCGATATCATACATCTTTACATTGTTTTCACGAGAGCTGACTCATTAGCTTTTATAAAGAAAGATCTCCACCTCTTCATATAAGTCAAATGAAACGCTTGAAGAAAGGAAAAAATCGTTTCTTTTTTGTAATTTTCTATAGGTGGGTCCAGGCGAACCCCAGGACAACCACGAAGGGTTAAGCAAGGTCGAAACGCGTCGTAGTTTGCTTGAACTCACTCTCACCCTTAACTAAATCGAATCAGTGTATTTCTAAATATATGAAATAGTAGAAATGATAAAAAACGCTAATTTTATGGGAAAATCTAGTGTTTTTCTTCCATATGGAAAATGCGAGGTTTTTAACATTTTTTAATGTAGAAAATTTCTTAAGTTCGACATTACAAAGTTTACAAAATCCTTACTATTTAGTAACAATAAATCCCATTTTTGACGAGCTTTCATTTAGCATAAAATTCATTATATACTCCTCTCTGCAATGATATTATTTCTTATTGGGTATCATGTCAATTGGCCACGCCCATATGTACATCTTATTTTCCTCTTCACAACTGCCTTTACTTTTCTGGTTTCAGATCCTAGATTTCATTATCATTCGATTTTTCTTCTCTTCATAAATGAGAATATAATGCTGCTTTTTGATTTCTATCATTTCTTTCTTGCGTTTCGATTTTTATCTCTCTATTTTTTATTCGCATAATTTCTTTTCTAGTACTTTCCTCATTATTTAATGTTTGATACAGAGTTTCAGCCTTTTACATTTCTATTAAGATATGCATTTCAATTCAATAATAGATTTTGAATTTAGTTCTAGTTAAAATATCCGATCTATATAGATTGTATCCATTTTCGTTTTAAACCTTTGTTCATCATTATAGATGAGAAACATTGTTAAAGTTTAATAAATATTGAAAACATCTAAGAGTTAAATCATATATTGATTCAAATATAACATAGACACAGTATTATTTGAGTTCTCAGGAAAGTTTTTAGGATTTCACTGTTATATGTGGTATAAAGCAATGAATAGTTTTGAATAAAAATGATAAATAATTTATCATATTATGTAAGAAATTGTTTAATAATGTTTCTACATGATATATTCAAATAAGAATTGATTTAATGAAATTATCAATTTAGTATATTACGTATTTAGAAATATTGTTTGCAAGATAATATACTTCTGCACATGTCTGAATTTCATCATTTATAAATCATACGAATATCGATCTTAGAAATAATATTCAAATCTTTCTTTTGTATGAAATCGCATAATAAACATCTACAATTGTCAATTTAATAAGACTTTTTATAAAGATACAAATATTTTGTAGTGTTCACATTCAAACAAAGTCGATAGGATTCTTGAAATAGCAGATATGAAGTTAAACTTATGAGAAGTATATTATTTTGATGTGGTTTTAAGTTGATAAAATCCGAAGCCACAAAGACAAATAAATTGAACATAGTAAAAAATACAGTATGCGAATGTATAATAGTATACTCCTATTTGACAATAGGTTGACAAAGTACTATCAATAAACTGCACAGTAGATTTCGCTCGGAATACCCACACGGAACCCTAAATTATCACGACAATACAGTTGAATGAAGTTATATAGTTATAAAAAAAAAACAAAAAAACTTACTGCTATTGCCCATGCCAATACGAATAGACATAAAATTATTAGCACAACACAAAATACTACTAAGCATGGTATAGATTTTAGTATATGATCTTCTCCATTTTTCAGCTTACTAAACATATAGCAGAACTATTCGAAAACTATTGCAGTATTGTTCAAGAATGTACTACTTACCATAATTAAATTTAATGAAAATAATACACAAATTGTAATACCCTTAACAATAAGAAAAATGGGTATATTCGGCTCATTAGCACATTGTCCATAAAAGACGGCACCAATAATAAGATTAACGATTGATATAACGATCATAAGAATTATATAAATAATTGAGACTTGATATATAAATGCTCGATGTTGAGCACCTTGAATTAACGTTAACGCACTTGAAGCCATCGTTTAAATGCTTCTGAAAACTATCTAAAAGAGATGGTTCAGTAAAACATTATTAATTTCAAGAGTATAATTAATAATAGTTTAAAAAATGTTCTAAATACAAAAAATATTTATTTATTTCATAAGTAATTCGTTCCTAGACATCAATGAGTTTATCAAAATATAATAGGTATATTAGTTACATGAATTCGATACCATTTAGTGTTTTCATCAAAATCAACACTGTTTATTTCAAATAAAGTATATGGTGTCACAAGTACTTCTTGCTCATGCGGAAATTTACTGAGATTATCAGTAATATTTTTTGATTCGTCTTTATTTAATTTGATAGCTGTATCACATGTTGTTGGAAAATCAAAAATAAATAATGCACTAACTTTATTTTCAGGTGGATTTTGAGCAAAATCTTTTGCTATTTGTTCTAATTCCGATGTCGATACAAACGTTTGAGTTTCAATAATACGACCTGACTTCTTTGTAGCCCATTTCCATGCGACAACATCAAAATGTGCAATTTTCGTACCACGATAAGTTCGACCTTGAAATGCTCGATTTTGAAATTTAGCCAAATTTATGAAAATATTTGCGGTAAATGCTGCATTGTCATTTTGTAAATCATGATAAAATTTAGTTTCAAGTGTATATAATCTAATGAATGCAAAAGTATCTTTTTTTTCTAAATATTCTATTGCTTCAGATCGAAATATATCATCGGGAGGTATACAACGATTAACTATTCTGCGTAATTTATCATATGATGTACCACTTACTTCTGCGATCATATACATTTTCTGTAGTCCTGTAGTACGATAAGCTTTTATCATCTCTTTAGCATCATGAACATGGTCAAAACTTAAATGTCCCATAATAAACTTATTATTCGGTGCAGATATATCATCTTCGTAAATAGAATATAATTTACTATGATATGTTTCCATTGATGTTCTATCAATTAAGAATAAGCTGCGAATCTTGTCATCTGTGGTTTCCTGCACTGGTATCAACCCATATTTGTTCTTAACATTTCTATCACATCCACATATAAGTAATATTAACACGATTTCAAAATGATTTCTATAACAAGCTACATGTAAACATGTGCTTCCATTAGGTTCTTTTCGATTAAGCTGATCAAAGGTTAAATAAGGCAGTAGTATCAATAATTTCTTGGAATCTCCATCACGGCAAATGTTGTACCATACACTCTGACCAGTTTTAGGCTCATACACTTTGAAACGTTCTTCATTTGCATTTGTATTAATATTAGAAGTACAATTAGAACCCATTTATAATACTACCTTCAAAAATTAAATGAGTACATCTCTCAGGAATAAACTATGCATTGTATAGTTTCAATGAGTCAAATAAGTTACTATTTGTAACTCTCACTCTTACCAAATGCAAACCAAACACAAATAACAAGAATTTGAAGTCAAATCTAAGTGTGTTCCTCAATTTGTTGAATCTCTAATTATTATTCAAAAATTATTCTATTTCGGCTGTACGAATGATTTACAAGACTTTGTTTTTTTACTATATTCATTTTCTTTTACCTTAACAGATGTTGTCGATGATTGAGAAAGAAAAAAAAATAATGTTTTGATGATTTTGATGTGAAAGAGAAAGTAGAAGAAATTTTTCAGTTTCTATTTTGGAGAAAAATGAGTTTATTTATTTTTCGAAGTAAGAAAAAGCTTTCTTTTAATTGACTAACTGCAATACATTAATGTTGAAAATGGATATATAATATTTCGTTAATGGCAATTTTTAATGGAGAAAAAGAAACAATTTTCTTCATAGAATTATTAAAACGGAAAGAAAAACGTTTTTCGGCGAAATCTTCTATTGAAATGCAATTGTTTGATTAACGCAAGTAAATTGAATATAAAAAGAGAATTTTAAAATGTTAATTTTATCTTTCAAGATTTGTTTTATTGAATAAGTAAAGATCATATTTAAATCTCAATTCGACTGATTATACTGGAATTAAAATATTTATATTCCATTTCTGACAAGAAAGTTTTTAGTAACAGTAAAGACTTTTTAATAACTTATATTGAAAATTTAAATAGTTTTTAGTAAGACTTCATCATTCAAATAATCGTAATAGTGATTGAGCTTAGACACCGATAACTTATTGTACCATTAATAGTATTTTGTGTCAGTTATTGAATAAAAAAAAACTGCTTCTTTTTTTCGTTTTGCTGTGTTTATCCTTTGTGTCATACAGATGTTTGTTGTATGACAAATAGTCCATAGTGTTATCTATATACTGCATTTGTATATGGGTGTGTCCATGGGAAGTCGCCAGTCAATACGGCGACCTCGTTCAAATCCAATGAAACTTTCAGAGTTTGTCGTGCTTTTTATGCTGATCATTTTGATGGTAAAATTTTTAAAATTTGATCCTATTTTCATTGAGATATAGGCGAAATACTTTTAGCGCATTTTTGTCATTTTTGCATTTTTTTCTTGCAAAAACTAAAGTCAGACTAGTATCGAAAACTTGATGATATGTGGGGTGTGACGTATGGGTGTGGGGTATGGGTGGATAGGTAGGTCAACACCTACATCCACCCATACACCCACCCCTACACCCACACCCACACTCCACACTCCACACCCACACCCACACCCACACACCCACACACCCACACCCACACCCACACCCACACCCACACACACCCACACCCACACCCACACCCACACCCACAC